CCGCGCAGCCCGGGGGGCGCCCTCTGCGGGCCCAGCCGCCGCCTGCACCCCGCACGCCGGCGAGACCCCGGCCGCGCAGCGCCCAGCGGGTACTCACAGACGGCGCCCAGCACCCCCGACAGGCGGCACAGCCAGCGGTACCACCACGTCATGCCCTCCTCCTGCGCGGGCGGCGCAGGGCCGGCCACCTCCCCCGCCCCGCCGGCGCCGCTCATAGCGCCCGGGCGCGGCCCCCGGCCCGCACAAAGAGCCAAGTTCGCCCCGCGCGCTGCCTTGTGGGAACGGGTACATTAGCATAGGGGGCGGGACTCGCAGGTCTAGCCGAGGGGGCCCGGGAGAGCGCAGGGCTCATTAGCATAGGGGGCGGGACTCGGAGGTCTAGCCGAGGGCGCCCGGGAGAGCGCTGGGCTCATTAGCATAGGGGGCGGGACTCGCAGGTCAATGCCCGAAGGTGGGGCCTTCCGGAGAGGTAGCCCGGGACTGGAGGGTGCCGCGCATAAGGGGCGGGGCGATGACCACCTAGCGGCGTGGAGGGCTGGGCTCATTAGCATAGGGGCAGGGTTGGTATCGGGCGGGGCTTCGCGGCGGCCCGCAGGTGTGCGGCAGGTGCCAGGTGCCCAGACCTCAGGAGCCACTCCGGGCTCCTGGATAGGAAGAAGACAAGATGGCCAAGTGCCTGCGCAGGCCAGGAAAATCCGACTACACTCAGAGAAATCCTGCCCTGAGGCAGGTTCCCTGTCAAGCCAGGTTTGGACAGATAGCAGGAAGAAACCACCAGTCAGGCCTCCTGCTTCCTTTATTGGCACCTGACGGGCTGGGAGCGGCCCTCCTCCGCCATCTCCACCTCCCACCCCTAGGTTTGCGCCCTGGAGACGACACTCAAGAAGAACCCCTAAGATCTGCTTAAGTTAGGGTGGGAACGCACTTCCAGGCCTGGCAGGACCCCTGACAGGCGCTCAGGAGGTGTCAGGTACCCTCCCTTCCCTTCTGCTGCTGGGAGAGACCGCTAAGGCAGGGGCCCCTCCAGCACCCGCGCGTGCAGGGTCCAGTAGCGGCCTCGCAGACCAGCATTCCCCTCCAGGAAGTCCTTGCTGAGCTCCATCTCAGCCTCGCTGCCCTCTGACTCCCAGTAGAGCGCCTGCTGCCCACGGAAGGTTGTGATCCTTGTGCTGTGGCTATCCCGGATCTGGGAAGAAAAGGGCAAACAGTCGGGATGGCGGCGCCCTCCTCACCACAGAGGGCCCTAGAGGGGACACAGAGGCCCGGCGACGCGTGTGTGTCTCCACCCGGGTGGGCTGTTCCACTCCCCCCGCCTCCCCTCGCAGGGCACACAATGCACGTCTATTGAGTAAGTAGGGGAAACTCTCCTCCCTGTTTTTTCAGCACTGTTTCTGACATGTGAGGTCTGAAGTAAACTGAAGGGGCCCCCTGAGCCCGGTCCCCCATCTCATCTCCAGGGCCAGCTGCCCAGAATCAGACTCAGCCCACATCTGTCCTGATCCAGGGTCCTCACTGAGATGGTGCTGCCGCCATTAGCCCCAGTGCCCACGTCGGTGGCCAGGATGTGGATGGCAATGCGGGCCTGCGGAGCCACGTTGATGAAGACCCTGCAGCTACCTGCAGTCCTCCCGTCTGGACTCAGTAGGGGGCGCACGATCTCACCTCGGGGTCCAAAGAGCTGCGTGTCACATTCTGCAGGGGGGAACAGATGGTAGACCAGGTTTGGGCCTGAGAGACACAGGAGCCCGGACAGCGGGGCAGCTCACAGCCAGGGACCATGAGGGAGGGGATGTGATGGCCCAGAAGTCACGTTCCAGGGCTCCCAGGCAGAACACTCTGCTTTTACCATGTCCTAGCTGAGGAACTCTAGAAAAAGACCCAAATGCCCCAAGCTTTGATCCCATCTCTGTAGGGGGACAGGAACGTGGCACGCACGGGAAGAGGAGCTTTTAGGGGGCATGGAGAAGTTACAGTGCACCAATACTTCACAGTGAACCTGGCAGAGGCTGGGCTCTGCAGCACAGCTGCTGCAAGCGCCAAGAGCCTGCCTGCCCTGCTTGTGTCCTTGCCTCCCTCTAGCCTGTGCGTGGTGAAGTCAGGACAGGAGAAGCAGCAGGAGCAGGGTCCACAGCACAGCTTCCTGCCGAGAGACCGGTGGTGCCAGGGCAGAGGGTGGCGCCTTATGCTTCTACTGCAGCCAACTTTCCCATGAGGCCTAGGAGACCCCAAAACCTTTGCAATTAGGTGGTAAAGCCAACTTTAGCCGCCTTGGGCTGCTGGGAGACCATGAGCCCCAGAGGCAACCAGAGGCTGCCCAAGATGCCATTCTCTGTCTGAGGAGGATGGGGCAGCGGGCACCTGTGCGTGGTGGGCATAGCCACACGCAGGGACATCAGGGCATGGGGGGCAGCGCACACAAGGATGCTGAAGGCCCTGAGGGACCTGAGCGCTGAGGGCAGGGACAGAAAACAGTGGCTGGAGAGATAGAGAAGGACATGGACCACTTCTCACACCCACCCCTCTGGCTGTGGGGCCTGGACAAGAAGGACCACAGCACCACCCCAGAAGCCCACCCCTACTGCATGCCTAGGCCAGCCCTGGCCAGCTCCCAGCCTGCCCTGCTGGTCGCCCCCGGGAAGCAGGCGTGAGCCCAGCCCCTGTGATACCTCTGTGGATGGCTCCCGGGGCAGGCCGGCTCTCGTACCGCAGCACCACTCCACCGCCGGGCCTCGCGCAGTGCTGTCTCACCACCAGGGTGTTGCTTCTGGAGCTGAAGGTCTTTCCAGCCAGATTCCCGCACAGCTTCCTCCAGGTGAGGCGGCCCCAGAGCAGCAGGGACTCCCCTAGGAGGTGGCTGGGGTGAGGCCCCGCCCAGCCCCACCCCCAGGAGGTGGCAGGGAGTGAGGCCCCCCCCCCACCCGCTGATCTGCAGCTGCGGCTCTGAGGCAGGCGGAGTTGAGACCCACGCCCGACCCCCCTCACTGGCTGTGGGACTCCAATTAGGGGGCATGTTACTGACTCTCCCTCAGCCTCAAAGTCCCTGTCTGTAAAGCAGGGGCAGTCAGGAGGTGCTGTGACAAAGTGTAGGAATGCACGGGGAGCGTCCTGTAGGAACAAGGCACCCTAGAGTGGCACTGACACCTGCCAGCCCCATAACTGTCAGCAGTGGGCCTAGATGTACCTGCGCTGCAGTTGAGGGAACTCTCAAGGACCTGGAGCATCACCACCTCACCCAGGGGCCTCCCGATGGCCACTACGCAGTCTGCCTGGCCGGAGCCTCGCATACTGATAGTTCCCGTGGGCTCCAGGTGCTGCCTGCCACAGGCACCTGCAAAGGAAACAACAGTGGGGTGAGCAGAGCTGTGGGGTCCCTATTAGTGCAGGCAGGGCTTTCCCTGCTGTGCAAGGAGGGCGTTGGGGCACCCCACGGGAGCCTCCCTGACTCTGGGAGGGGGCTGCATGGCCAGCCTGTCAGCCTCCAAGGACAGAGCAGCTTCCAGTGCTGCCAACCAAGGGGAGCCCTGGGTCCTCACGGGACTCTCCTGCCACCAGCCTCCCAAAGGAAAGAGCCAGGGAACCTAACTGGACTCTGCTGTGCTGTTCTGAGGCCCTGGAGGCTGAGAGCGTGGGGGGTCCGGCGTGCCCCAGGCTGGGGTCTGAGGCCACGTCAGAGTGGTGCCAGCAGCGGCAGCCGTGGTCCGGCCCGGAGTGGTAGCATCCTCGTGGGACGCCAGGCTGGGGGCTCCCTGCCCCGTACAGGGCCCGGCCCAGCAGCCCTGCACCGTGGCCGGCTTGGGCAAGTGGTAGCAGAAGCTGGCGGGTAGGGGTGCCTGGCCTTGGGGTCCGAGGCAGGTATCATGCCGGCGCTGGATGCCCTCCCCACAGGAGGCAGAACACTGCAGGGAGAGGGAAGGAGTCACAACTGATCTGCCATAGGCCAACGGGGACATGGGGGCAGGCGAGTGGGGTCGTGGGCCGTGCCTCCACTGTGCAGCTCAGGCCCTGAGGCTCCAGCTGCTGGGAGGCCAGCTGCAGGCCCAGCCTGGACCCTCCTCCCAGGGCGGCCAGGCCTCTCAGGCCGCACCCCCAGGGAGCCCAAGTGCTGACTGCTGCTCCTACCTCTGTCCAGGGGCTGACGTGCCACCAGTAGGCGCAGTCAGCGATGAAGCAGGGAACGCTTGCCTGTGGCCGCACCAAAGCTGCACAGGACGCCTCGTCCACCTCAGCATCCTGGCCCCAGGCCGGCCGCACGCAGGCCACCACACGTGTCGCAGTGCCGAGGCCACAGCTGGTGGAGCATGGGCCCAGGGACAGGACCTTCCACCTGCAGAGACAAAAATGTGGGCTCCACCCTGGCTCCTTCAGCACAGGCTCGGGGGTGGGTGAAGGGAAACTCGGACCAACTCCCTGCCAGTCTCGGCCTCCCTGGACAAGGATCAGTTCTTGAGGGCTCCACAGGAAGAGGCCCTCTTGCTGCCAGACACCTGTTCCCCCACGAAGTGCTGGCTGACAACACACAGGTAGGAAACCCCAGGGTGACAGAAGTGGCACCATACCCCACAGGGGCCGGAGGCAAAGTTCGTGCAACCAGGCCTGCCAGCTCACTTCGAATCACTCAACAAAGAGCAGCGGACATCGTTCAGAGCCCCGATGGGAATCCCAGTGGCCCACACCGCAGCCCAGGGTCTTAGCTCACAGCCTGTGACACTGCCCCTCACTGCTGTGTCTTCCGAGGGCACAGGGTGACAGCAGGGGCCAGTGTGCTCCGGGCACCCCTGGGCGCAGGGAGTGCTATGCAGCCCTCTGTGGTGGAGCCTGTTCTGTGCACCGTGAGAACAGCAGTGGCTCCCCCCCCACGCCCTGCCCAGGGACCCCTAGAGCCTCTTGGTGCTGCCTCACGCCTGTAATCCCAGCACTCTGGGAGGCTGAGGCAGGGGGACTTCCAAATTCAAGTCTAACCTGGGCAATTAACTCATCAATTTAGTGAGACTCTGTCTCAAAATAAAATGTAAAGCAAGGACGAGAGTGTAACTCGGTGCGCAAGTCCTGAGTTCAATCCTCAGTATAGCAAAAAAAAAAAATCAGAAGTCGCCATTGTGCACTGGTCAGGCAGAGCCTCGCTTCCCAGCCAAGCCTCAAGCCCTGGAGGAGGAAGTGTAGAACCCATGTCAAGACATCCCTGAAGGGCTACAGGACAGCCAGAGTGGCTGCAGCACCCCCAAAGGGCGGCCAGACCAGCTCCGACTATCCAGGATCCTTAGCATGAGGAGGGCAGCAGGATACGCTCTAAGGATGCTGGAGGGACCATAGCCAGGGATGGGAGACGACAGCCTAGAGGAGGTAGCTTCCAACACACGAGGCGCCCTCTGGTGGTGGCTCTGTGGCCCATCCCCGCAGGGGCCACTGACCCCACCCTTTCCCACCTGCAGAGCTGGCGCCCCACAAATGCACCCTTCACAGCATGGGGATCTCACCTTCCAAGCCCAGTGTCCTGTGTCCTGTGCACTCTATAACCCCAGGTGTCTGCCAGGTGTCACTGCGTACCAGAAGCCCTGGGAAGTCCTTCCCTGAGCACCCCCTTTCAGTCCCCCCCCCGTGACTCTGCTCAGGGGACAGAGCACTCAGAATAACCAGGGGCCACGGATAGGTGGTATGTGGCTATCTGGGGCAGTGGGACCCTGCGAGGTTCTGGCATCAGGGATCCCACAGCTCTGCTGCGCTGCATGGAGCTGTGACCCTGTCTGTCCCAGCCCCGGTGCAGCATCCCTTCCCCTTGGGCGTCGGGAGGGCTGGCACATTCACCCTTCTTGTTTGCTGGCTCCAGAGCAGCTCTTGGGCATGGCAGATTCGCGTGAAGAGTGGGCAAGGAGGAAATGCACCGGCGGCCTGGCACCCACAGCACCTGGGCCCTTCGTGGGCTTGGCATGCAGGGTGGCCTCCTCAGGCCCCGCAGCCTGCACACTGAGGCTCAGAAGGGGTGGACAGAGCTGGGTGCAAACTAGGGCTGCCTGGCCCTGGGCGAGGCCTCACCTGGCCGGACAGGGCTCCAGGCTACAATCCTGGAAGGGGCCGGGCCGGGCTGCTGGCCAGCACTCTGAGTGAGGCAGGGGGACAGGCCCGCCGTGCTCCCGTCTCACGCAGCGCACGGCCAGGGGCACCCGCCCCCCTCCGCAGGTCACTGGACATGGTGCCAAGGCCCGGGCCTCCCACCTGCGGGAGAGAGGCCAGAGTGCTCCAGGACACACGCCGCCCCCCACCAGGTTCCCGCCCAGCCACTGCAGTCTCCCTGCCCTACTCACTGAGCAGGGCACGGGCCGGCCTGGCACACTTCCCACCGGCTCGCAGGCCGGCTGGCCACATCACACAACGTCTCCTGGACAGGCGTCTGGAGGACCGAGTCCACGCACTGGAAGCGTAGCCCCATCAGTCCTGCAGGGAGGAAGCAGGGGCCCCCTCAACCTGAGAGGTGGCTCAGCAGGGAACACAGGACATGGCTCCCCAGACAGCTCTAGTGAACAAGACCCAGGGAGCCTGAGGCCTAGCTCTGCCGCTTACTGGCTGTGTGGCCTTGGGTAAGTAACTTAGCCTCTCTGAGCCTTGGGTGTTTCATGGTACACTATCTACTTGCACAGTTGATTAAAAAGATGTAAAAGGGAACGTACAAAGTGCCTGATAAGGGCTTCCCTGGCAAGCGCAAGGGCCGAAGTTCAATCCCTGGTTCCACACACACACACAAAAAAAAAGTGCCTGGCGCACAGTAGGTGCTCCTGAAATGTTGCGTACGGAAAGACGAGGTAAGAGTCGCTGGAGAGCGTCTCTTCCTAGGGCTGGTTTCCTCCATCGCTCCCTGAGGAGCAGGCCGGGTGGTCGCAGCTGGGGACCCGCTGAGGTTGGATAGCGCGCTGCTAGGGCTGTAGGGCACGGTGCGCTCCTCGCAGCCTTCGAGATGGCTGCCTCGGAACTAAAGCTTTTAAAACCCCAGCAATGGCAAACATTGGGTGAGGAGAGGGAGACCCTGAACCTGTGACCCCTTGGTTGGGAGGACCGAACACGCTACCATGCAAAGAGGTAGGGTTCTCCCAACAAACACATAGAATGACCTCAGCACTCGGCAGGCCCCCCACTCCTGGGAGACACTCAGAAGGAGCGACAGCGGGGCCTCTGGGAAGGATGTGCAGCCACTGTGGGGCTCCCCCAATCTGAGGGCCCTGGAGAGGTCAGAGCCACGCAGGCAGGAAGTAGAACACAGGTGGCCAGGGGCTGTGGACGGGAACTGGGCGTTGGTGGGCACAGGCGTTCAGTTTGGATTGGCCGGAGATTTCTGGGGCTGGAGGGACAAATGGCAGAGGCACCTGCGGGCAGGCAACGTGAGTGTGCTTGGCACAGAGCGGAGGAGCAGGTCGGGGTACACCTAGGCGTCTTCCACCACGACCAGAAACAAGCACCAGAGACCCTGCGTGACTTTGCTTCCCTGTGTCGCTGGTCGGCGTGGACCGTCTCTTGCACCTCTGCTAGCTATAAGGGACACTGGTCAGTGCCAGTCTTTCTGGGTGTTACTGTCTCTCCCAAACTTTCACCCACTCAGTGAACCCCGAGAGTAGCTGGGGCACCTGGCTGAAGTCCCCTTTCTGTGCCCTGTCTCCATGTGGCTCAGGTGTCCTGGGGCTACTGCAAAGGCTTCCTGGGTCAAAGACAGAATACAGGGAGGTAAGAAAGCTGAGGGCCATACTGGCAGCTGGGAGCATCACTGGGACCCTCACCTTGCCCACAGGAGGTGGAGCACAGCCCCCGCACAGGCGTCCACACATGTTCGGCTGGAGCCTCCTCCTCTGGAGCCGTGGCATGCAGCTGCGGGGCGTTGAGGGTGGGTCCAGGACTCCTAACCTTCTCAGGAGACACAGGCGGCCCCTGCTCCTCCTGGGAGACCCACCCCCACCCCCAGCCCGCACCACCACCATGCCCGTGCATGTGCCAACCTTCGCCTCTGCAAGCTCCTCAGTGGTGCGAGGGTCCTCTGTGGTGTTGACCAAGAGCTGGGGAAACCAGGGGGTTCGTGAGCATGCCCGGCCTGGAGCTCTGTGGGCCGTGAGGGGCCACAGCCGGCCAGCTGCTGGCCTGAATGCAAGGCCCTCAGGCTTGGGAACCTGGATACTAGCTGGAGCAGGCAGCAGGGCCTCTGCTTCTCAGCCTGGCAACCCTTTCCAGAGGCTCTGTTTACCCTGTGGCCCAGAAGCACCTGCAGCAGACCGTGCTCCCGCTCTGGCTTGAAGGACAGTAGTCTCCACATGCTCCCAGCCATGCAGGACCCAGGAACCCTGGCCACCCTCTGCAGCCCACTCACCTGAGCCCAGGCCGGAGGACACGCTGTCTTGACACAGGGCTCTCCAGCAGGCAGCATCTCATGTGTGGCATCAGGTCCTGCAGTCGCTGATGAGCCCGGACCACCTGCCCCCTGGGCACACGCCACACTGGGTGAGGCCAGGCCGGCTCCACAGGCTGCTGCCGTGTACAGGTCAGGCTCCGACAGCTCCTGCCTGGGGACAGCACAGGACCTCGTCAGCCTGCCCTGCACCTGACTGCAACGCAGCTCAGCCGGGACGGGTCCCCTGATCTAGGAGCCAAGCATAAGGGCTTTCCCTAGAGTGCTTGCTGGGTCAGCCGACAGCTCCCCCAACCAGTGCCTCCCAGCTCCCAGCAGTGAGAAGCCCCATGCTGCACCAGCGGCCGGGGTGCAGGGAGCCAGCCCACTCCCCCTGCCTTCCGCCCCAAGCCTGAGGCAGACCCCTGACCAAAGGATGGAAAAGGGCAGGGACCAGAGGAATTGTGGCCCTGGGCTCAAGGACGGCCAGCAGGCTCGGGCTGGAGGACTCAGCAGCAGCCACACAGGCAGAGACCAGGAGCAGGGTCGAGGAAGGGACTCCGCGCCTCTGTGAGCAGGGCCCTCGCCCATTTCGAGGCAGAGTCTGGAGGATCACACCTCCTGGCAGCGAGGGCTTCTGAAGCTGCACCACTGCCAGTCACTCTCATGGAGCCCTGCCAGGGGCCTGGAGGTGAGGGGACCCCAGAACAGAGCTCTACAGGGAGGCCCCTCGACTCCACCACCACCTGCCTGGGAAGGGCTGGCCATTGCAGGCCTCCACGGTAGCTGGCTGCGGGGCCACTGCTCCGCACCAGGCCAGGCACAGCAACCTCAGAAGGCACCCCACACACAGGACATGGGCCACCCCACAGGCCTTGCCTACAGGAAAGCACTGTGTGGACCAAAGCTACCAGCTGAGAAGAGAGGGACACAGTGGCAGCCCTGGGCTGGGCACTGGGCTTCCCGGAGGACAGAGGCAAGGCAGCAGAGCGATGCGCCTCCCTGGCCTGCATCAGGCCTGTCTCAGATGTCCCCAGCTGCCCTTTTGAGAGGGCTGGCCTGTAGCACAGCCTGATGCCACCACCACCCCCTGCCCAGTGACAGGTGTACAGCAGGGACTGCTGTTCCCATCAGGGACAGCCTTGTCCCTAGCAGTGTGTGACTGCTAACTGCCCCAGCAAGGCTGGTGCAGGCCAGTGCTGGCCCCAGGGCCCCAAGCCTCCCCTGCAACCTCTTAGGGCCTTGCTGCCCAGAGAAGGTGGCAGTAGGTGTGGTCACAGAGGGCAGACACTATCAATGTGTCTGTCCTGAATCTCAGTCCCCCACCTGCAAAATGGGGGCACCCATGGAGCCCACAGCTAGGCTGACCTCAGTGCTAACCAAGGGCACACAGAGCCACATGCATAGGCCACGTGGGTCCTTGAGCCCAGCACTCACCGCGGAGGGCAAGGCGCAGGGACACAGGGTTCTGGCCAGGTGGGGGGTTTGGGGCTCCCTCGACAGCAGCTGGCCTCCATCCACACATTCTGGGCCTGGTCCAGGCAGCTGTAGGACACCCAGCGCACCCCTGCGAGGGCAGAGCCAGGACTCAGCCCCCTCTGGGCAGGGGCCAGCAGGAGGCTCTGGGCAACCCTCTCCTGGGCCTCACCTGCCCCACAGCTCACCGAGCAGGACCCACGCTCCTCAGCCCACACGCACGCTGCTTGCTGCTTGGACTGGAAGTAGGTGAAAGTGATGTCCGGGCGGGCGAGGGCTCCATACTCCTCGCCATATCGCCTGTACACCTGCACGGGGAGACCCTGTTCTGCGGGTGCCCTGGGCCACTGGCACAGCCACCAGCTCCCAAGATCCCTGGCACAGTTCATTCCTTAGTCCCACGTGGCTAGGCTCTGTGGACAGCATAGCGTATAGGGCCCAGGCAGCGCTTCCAGGGAGCAGGTCTAGAGGAATGTGGAGCAGGGTTCCCAGGCTTTCTGGGGTGGGGACAGGCTGTAGTGGAGCCTCCAGTAGGGGTTGCCCAGGCCAGCATACAGGTGAGCCCAGTGCCCTGGGAGCTTCCACAGTGAGAGCTCGGCCAAGGGCAGCAGGAAGGGACAGGATCTCAGAGAGCTGGTGGCCACCTGCTGACCTGCTCGGCCTGCAGAACTGGAAGGACTTCACCAAGGTATCTGGGCCCATTTGCATTTGCAAAAGGCACTGAGCCCAAGACGGGAGCCCGGCTGGAAGCAGAGCCCACAGCACACAGCACCGTCAGCCCCTGCCACCTCTGTGCCCACATCTGGCCACCCCATAGCAAGCTCAGGATCCGGGGCCCACAAGTGCCAACCCACAGCACTGACAGAGTGTGGTGCCCAGATGCTGGAGGAGCTGCTTGACAGCAGGCACCAGAGCCTGACACTTCTGGGAAGCAGCAGAGCAGGAGGGCACTGCCACGCCAGGGCCAGTCCAGCCAGAACCCCAGGGTTCTCTAGGCAGCCTGAGCGACATGCTGACTTTGGGCCTGGCCAGCCACACGGGTCACACACGGGAGCACGAGGTAGGAGGACAGCCACAGTGAGCCTTCCTGGGTGCTCACAGACCTTGACCAAAGAGGCAGGAGGAGCCGATGTCCCACCCTGAGCTTCTTCTGCACCACGGCCCACTGCCCTGCTGGGCCCCACTGCCCTCTCCTGGGAGCTGCATGCACAGACCCCTGCCCACTAGAGCTCCGCCCCCAGGGCATGTAAGATGCTCAGCCCAGGGCCCCACACCTGGCAGGTCCCCTGGGTGGCCCAGGCACAAGTGAGCGAGTAAGTGAGCGGGTGAGGGACAAAAGAACGAGGCCCACACTGGCTGCCCTGCCTCTGAGGACCTGGATCTCCACGGCTTCTTGGACGGCTCCCTGGAGACGGATCTCCTCACGGAGGGGCAGCTGGTCCTCAGCGAGGGCCACTCTGTACTCCACACGGCTATCCTCCAGGGGGGAGGGGTGGGTGGTGCTGGGTGCAATGCCAGCTTCCCCAGCCACAACATAGCGTCCTTGGATCCTCACCGCTGTCCAAGATAAGGGGACTGTCAGCCCTGGGGTCCCCAGCTCTGCCTGGTAGAGCTGGTCTTCCTAGCCCCTCCCTCCACATGCACCCCTCTGCTGTGTGCACCCCCACCTAGGAAGTCTTCCCTAGAGCCTCCTATCACGCCCCATTTGGGTCCTACTCTGGTCACACCCTCTGTCCCTTCCTAGTGCCTCCACACACAGAAAACCACCTGTGCTCAGGGGCTGCAGCCCCAGGGCAAACACCCTTTCAAGGCTCAGAGGGCAGGTGAAGGAGTGCACAGGAACTGACGGCCCCTGTGGCCCTGGACGGTGCAGGTGTGGCCTTACCCAGAGAGACCTCTGGCCTCTGCCTGCCCCTAGCCCAGACAGGAGGCACAGTCTCAAGAAACTGCGGGACTGGCCACACCAGAGAGACCAGCTGCATGACTTGGGTGGCACCCAGGGCCCCCCGGAGAAAGGCCACCCCAAATATCCCTGTCCATTAATCACCCTCTGGAATGAAGCCCACCAGAAACACAAGGCCAGGGAGCTTCCCAGGTTGCCTTGCTTTGTGCGAAAATCACCCCTCAATGTGAGAAGAGGGGGCCGGGGAGATGGCTCAGTAGAATAAGCGCTTCCCTGGCAAGCGCAAGGGCCTGAGTTCAATCCCCGGTTTCGCAAAAGAGAGAGAGAGAGAGAGAGAGAGAGAGAGAGAGAGAGAGAGAGAGAGAGATCTATCAATGCAAGAA